ATATATTATTTTATGTAGTTTTATATTGCACATACTTCAGATTATCATTTCTATTTAAAAACTATTGATTTTAATCCTTCCACAGTAACTTTTAGTTTCATTTTGGTCTCTAATTAAAAAAAATGTTAGTAGCGGTGTTTTAAAATGTGTTGTTCTTTATATTTACATTATTTTATACATTTTAGCCTTATACTTATATCGTACGTGTATAAATTACTTAATTTGTGTTTTATTAATGTCTGTTTTTCTTCTCACGGTAACCTCTTCTAATCATATTCGTCTCTTTCCTTGCTCTGACGTTAGAATTTTAGTCCTTATTTTCGTTCCGTTTAAGCTTCATATTTTTTTTATATTATTTTTAAAAATTATTTATTTATAAATTATATTAAATTAGTTTTAATAATATTTTTTATATATTATTTCTTGTACATAGAAATATTAATAATTTTATAATTTTTAAATTATTATTATTAATTAATTAATTAATTAAATAGTTTTTAATTTATTATATTTATATAAAAATATGTATGTACGAAAATATATTAGATTATTTTCATAAAGATATATAATAGTTGTAATGTTGTTATTATTATATATTATAATATTATAGATTGTTATATTAAAATAATAATAATAATAATAAATATAAAATATATATTTATAAAAAAATATTTAATAAAATGATTTTTATTTTAATTAGTGTAAAATAATAAAAACTTGTTATAAATTGTTTAAAATTGTTAATAATTTAAAATATAATAATTTAATTAATATAAAATTTGATATATAATAAATAAAAATAATAAATCTAAAAATATGATAAATAAAAATAATATATAAAAATAATAAATCTAAAAATATGATATAAAAAATTATAATAAAGACAAACTAAAAATAAAATGATAATAGATGATATTCTCTTGTAAGAGTTATTAAGATATTTTTTTATTTTAAAAAATAAAAAATATTTATGATGTCATATATTTTTAAATAATTTATTATTGATTTTATTTTATTAAAAAAATGTAATTAGTTTAAAAAAATTTATTTATTTTCTCATTTATTTTGATTTATTTATATTTAATAAGTTGTGTTATAAAAAATTTTAAGTAATTTATTATGACATATATTATTCTTCCAATAAGAAAAAAATGTGAAAAATATAAAAAAATTAATTTTATAAAATAAAGCATTTGATATTATTATTTTAGTATTTAAATTTAAATATTAAATCAGGAAAAGAAGTGAAGATTACATCTACCTCCACTCTCAAAATTTTTAACACGTGAAAATTTTGAATTTATCCTCGATCAACTTGATTTTTGTGGTGAATCTCAAATGAATGAAATATTAGTTCCTATAGTTTTGGGTTTGATGGTCACTTCTGTTCCTCCTTTTTCATGTTTCTTCTATGTTTTCTTTTTCCTCCTAAACACCATTTCTTTTTATGTGACAGATTTTGTTTCTTCTAAATCCTTTTACATTAACTAATTATCATTTATCCTAAATCGATGAGTTTTGAAGGTTATGAATTTAAAGACACTTGTTGGGCAGAATGTGTCGTGAGTAACGATTTAAAATTCCATAAATAGAAAGGATTTTCCGTATTTAGTGACAGATCTTCTTGAGAAATGGGCCGTGACTCCCTCAAAGTTGTGTAATTCCGATGTAATTTATGATTTTTGCCTCCCAAAACTTTAATATATTTACTTGTATATTTACAATTTTATCCTCTCAGCTCTCCTCAATTTTATAACTCTCATATAATTTATGATTTTGTTTCCCAAACTTAATAATCATTTTATATATTTATTTATATATTTACAATTTTATCATCTCATCATTTCATCTTCTTTCACATTTTTATATTTATTTATTATTTTTTAATAATACATTATTTGACCCTCTTAGAATTAATGGTCAAAATCCGTCATTGTCTATATTATTTTAATATTAATGCATAAAAGACTTGGGGATGTACAAAATTGAAGAAAATGCTTAGAGATATAGGATGCCTCAAACCCTTATTCTATTGGTTTACTCATTTTATCATTTGGTATTATGTAACTTCATTAGATAATCTACCAATAATAAAATTTTGAAAATAAGATATTTTTGATATGTCTTATTATTAATTGTTCAATCTAAGGATGAGAGTGTCACAACTTCATGTCTGTTATAATAATATCATTAGAGTTAATTATCATATATGAAATATTATTCGCTTTAAAACTCTCATCCGTCATGATTTTGTCTTTAAAAAACATATCGATGTGTTGAGAGAAGATAGTGTATTTAAAATACCTTTAGTCCTTGAATACTAAGGGAATGAGTGAGACACCCACCATAGGACCGAGAGCCGAGTCTCGCTCCACTCATACTCTTAATCCTTGATCGAGGGCTTATGTTTTAGTACGTTGACAAGTCTTACATCATTTAGGAATCAAATGTACTTTAAATATACTATCCTCTCTCAACCCACGTAAACATCTTTTAAAGACAAAATCATAATGCATAAAAGCTCCAAAATAGAGACATACATTCATGATTAGTAATATTTTTTAATAATTATATTAAGTCATTTATTTTTATTATTTTTAAAAATATTTTTAATAAAATTATTCATAATTATTTATATCATTTTCTTTCATTTAAAATAAGTTTTAAAAATAATTAATTAAATATTTTTTATAGTTTTTTAATTTATTTTTAAAATTATTATTTTAAAAATTATCTATAAACTGTTTTTAAAAATTAAAAACAAAACTATTTTTTAAAAACAATTTTAAAATAATTAAAAATTTGTTCAATAGTTATTGTGTTAAAACGTTCTCAAAATTGAGTTTTGTTTTTCAGTCTTTTAAAACTAAAAAATCAAAACTAATAAAAAATATTTTATAATTTCGCGTTTTTGTTAATGGTATTTTCGTTTTCACCAATAGCTACACTTTATTGTTTAAAATATTTTTCAACTTTTAATGTAACTTTTTGTTATAATTAATGTCATTTTCTTTTGTCTAAAACGTTTTTTTAATTAAATTTATTATTTTTTTTTCTTTTTTTCAAAAATATTTTTTTAAATTGATCTTTTAAAACTTAAAAAAATAAAATTAATCAACCACTGTTTAAAAAAAGGATTTGCAAACAAAATAAAGAGTGATTTCTAGATGTAAGAATTAAAATGTAAACACTGTATTAAATGAAGAACTGAAACGTAAAAAAAAATAAAAAAAAATTTAGAACCTAAATCATAATGCAATATACAAGACAACATCGTGTCTCTGTCACATTAAATAGTATTAAGCTTTTTTATCATCAAAGTTGAAAACAAAATACGTAGCTTTATGGGATTAAAGTGAAATATTTAAATATAAAAACTAATAAATAAAACCCATTATATATATATATATATATATATATATATATATATAATACTTATAAATTTTACAATAAAAGTAAAAAAAATGAATACAACTTGACAAAATAATTCTTTAACATGGAAAGAGGATATGACCATATATTTCAATTCACACTTCGTAATGAAGTTAGTTTATATGTTACTCCCACCGTTTTATTATGTGTTATTTAAACTATTTAACAATTTTTAAATGAATGATAATTTACATATGCAATAATTTTTTTTCTTTATTATTATTACCCTTGATACCAATATCAATCCATTCATTGTTAAAACAAAATAATATTTGAATTATTTATAGAAAAACGTGTAAAAATGTTTTGGTAAAAAGTTTGTAGTTTGTAATTTATTTATTATTTTCGTTGACAAGCAGAAAAAAAAGAAAAAGAAATGGTGGGTGTACGGTATTGGACCCTCCCTCCTTTTTGATGGTTACTAGACAATGATAGTACTCATTCCGTACGCCACAACTTGTTTTAGGTTTTCTCTTGTGGGTGAGAGAGACTACGTCCATTGATCATTTTCAAACGCGTCTTCTTCCATTTTCATCTCTCGCTGCAACCCAAACCAAACCTAACCCATTCATCATCCTTTAACTCACACACCTCTATGCACCACTCCTTCTCACATTGCTTAGCCAAAATCATCAAAATTTTCAACATAAAACATGTCTATCACTTAATCACACCGCCACCACTCAGACTCAGATTACTCCTCTTTTGGGCAAAAGTGTTATTAAAGTGAATACTATTTCTAACAAAAGTTTATTTCCACAAACCATACCAAACAATTCCTGTCTCCTAACTTTTAACAAAACAACAAATGTTCGTGTATAAAAGCTTCGTCAATCATAAGCACTCTTCTCTTTTAATATTTGTTTTCGCATAAGTCATATTTTTTATATTCCCGACGACCGTTATATAGATTTAAATAAAATAATAAGTACTGTTGTAAATAATGAAAAAAGTTATTCTAAACATATTGTCTAAGCTTTAAGTATTTCTTAGCAAAGTGCCTACCATAATTATGGAAAGGTGGAAGGAAATGTAGTCCCACTCACATATGCAATTTGAATTTCCAACAAGTTCCATGACAAAATATCTAATCAAATCGGAGGAATTAAGGTTTGGGCCCCAGTGTTTAGTTCGTAAATTATGTACCATGACAACTTTTTCTCCCCTTCTGTTTCATTATTATTATTTTTGGAAGTGTATCTATGTCTGTTCGCATATCAGTGTTTTCCCCTTCTCAAGGAATTATTATCCCTTGGAGCATTCTAGAAACATAAAAAGTGTAATGAATAAAATAAAATAAAATAAAACATAAACAAGGACATCCAATGTAGCAAATAACTATAATAACTACCCTTCAGAAATTTCAAGCACCAAACTTCCAATCATAAAAGCCGAAATCCTAACACCAAAAAAAAAGGGGGAAAAATGAAATAGTAAAATAAGTTTTACTCAGACTACATCTCAGACTATAATAGACTTGTAATATCCTAAGACACTGCATGTCTCATTAAGATTAATATTGAATATGATCACGTAATAATCTAAGATTTATGTAATGATTTATTTTATCAGAGACAAAGAGAAAGAGGGGGATGCTCAAAGTATCCATCGCCAAAAATGACTCTATTCCCACTTTCCTTGCACCTGCTTGGCCTCACAAACTTTGTCATATCCATCTCATCCTCAGCATTTCCAACAAACTCTTCCAACTCCTCTTCAACCACAACACCATCTTCTTCACCACATTCTTCTTGGTTCAAGGCTTCGGCATCATCATCATCATCATCATCATCATCATAACAATAGCCCTGATTCTGAAAAAGTCGAAGCGTAAGCCTGCCATTGCCACGCTCCGCTTGAAAATAGGATTGAGGAGAAGAGGAAGTGACGGCTTCCAAGATAAGCCTACCATCTTCACGATGAGACCTAATAACTCTGACCTCTCCCATTGAACTCAAGGGAGGTGGAAAGGTGCTAGAGCTACCTCGATTCAATCTTTTAGACTCAGAAATTTTGTTAGTTACTACTGGAGTGGTGTTACTCCATAAACTTGGGCTACTTTCAAGTGAAAATAAAGACATGTCATCAGTGTCGTCACTGGCATTACTACCAGTTTCGCAGCCTAAGCTTTCGGTGCATAGTTCCAAGCTCTTTGCGCTGAGCATTGAAGAGGAGCGCTTAACAGAAGGGTGGACGTAGACTTTCTCAGTTTCAGGCTCCTTGCAATGAGAAATGTTGGAGAGAGATTGAAGGAAGCTCCACTTGTTGGAGCCTCCAGGTTCAGAAGTTTTGTTTCCATGTTCATGGTTTGGAGTGTGTGTGAGCGTTTTGGAGCTAGGACAGAGAGAGGGTGGAGAATGGTTGGAGTTGGACCCTGGTGGAGCCAACTTGAGCTTTAGCACACGTGGTTCCCGAAGGCAGGGTTCGACACTTGATTGCAACCCTTGACAGACACTTGAGTAAGACATTTCTGCGTTATCCAAAATGGAAGTGTCCAAAGGAACAGGGAGAAACAGGGTAGTTCTGTTTAGAGGAGTTGAGTGTAAAATCGGGGAAAAACAGAGGGGATTAAGTAAAAGTGATCAATTGATTTGGCTCATGCAGAAGATGGGTTCCTCGGAAAACAAGAAAAGAGATGGAGAAGTGAGGAATAGACATGAAAGAGAAGTGTAAAGGGTGAGTCTCCATATATAGTTGGCCACTCGTATGTTCACCTTGCAACTTTATTGTTTTTTGTAGTGGGGAAAGGGTCCCCAACATCACTCACAAAATTATTTCAATGAAAATAAAAAGACAAACTTGGGGACAGGTTTTTAGTGTTCCTCCACCCGAATTAAGCTTTAGTGAGTTTCCTTCCTAAAGATTTGCATTAAATATATTAACAAAATTATAATTCTTGTAAAAAGAAAAATACAAAAAAATATCTAAATTATATCCCAAAAAGGGCTATTACATTCTTAGTTAAATTATTGTTTGTATATTCAGTCCACAAATTATTGATTTAGTTATGATTATGACTTATAACAAAGATGAAGGAGTTTTGCAAGAAAATTTGAGTTTGAAATCAAATCGACAAATTCCTACTTGATAATTTGTGCTGGATTTGAATATATATATATATATATATATATATATATATATATATATATATATATATATATATATATATATATATATATATATATATATTAGCAAAAATCACTCAGCTATAGTTTCCTCACAACATCTCCCCGTGCTTAACTGAGGTGGTTAGGTGCCGGAGTAGTCTAATTTTTCGATAATGAGGAATGAAAAACAGTAAATCAATGGCCACATTCACATTTTAACAGTGTCAGTCTAAAGTTTAATTTCGGATCTAACTAATTTGAACTATTTCATTGAAAATTTTAAAAGTTTAAGGACTCCCCTCAGATCAAATTGCAGAGAATAAAATAAAGGAAGAGGGAGACCAAGTGGGGGAACACAATTCTTGGGTGGGAACTTCGTAGTTCAGACAAGCGAATCAACCTAGGACATGAGTAAGATTATGCTAATAAAGATAGGTACATTTTTAACATAGCCTACGTGAGTTTACAAATAGAGGTCTAGGATTTATGTTCTCAAATTAAGGTAAAATCACGGGAAAGAAAATATAGCCTGTAGTTAGATGGATTTGAAGTTCAAGGTATGTCTGTGTGTGTCTAGAAAATAATACTATGGTCACTCTGTTTTTTATCATTACCGACTCTTTTATTTTTTATTTTTTTTTCAAAGTGAATGTTTATTCACTCAATTGAATTCCCCATTAGAGAAACCAAATTCGTGACAGTCTCTGACTCATAAATTTGAAGGGAGAAAATGGGCATGTGGACGGGTTTAATATACGGATGTAAAGTGGTTAGTTCGATGCATCAGCTCCTTAATCCGCTTAAAAAATTAGCGGTATGGATTAATAATTTTATTAACTCACTTTAAAAATTATTTATATATTAAAAATAAAAAAAGATTATAATTAAAAATTTTATTATAATTTTTTCAAGTTATTAATACTATAATTTTAATTATAAAAAATAATTAATTGAGTTTAAATTATTATTATAATTAGTTATTTTAATACATAATATAATAATTTTTAAATTTATTTAATAAAAATATTAATTAATAAATAAAAACTTAAAAATTATTCATATAATTAAATATATATTATTAAAATATATATGTAAAAAATTTATATAAAAAAATTTATTGACGGGTTGACTAGTTGACTCGTTAGTCCACCCTTTAGTAGGATAGAGTGAGATTTGTAATATATCCTCGCTATGATAGGTTAACCCACCTCATCCCATTTTTTGTGGATTAGAGGTGGGGCGGACCAAAACAAGGCGAACTAGCTCGTTTTGTCATCCATACCTTAATAACAGTAGTAATTTTTATCATCAGAAAATTATAATAACAATTATAAAAAAAATATCGGATAAGTAGGTTTTCATCATGAATATTTTAAAATTTATGAGTATTTTTAAATGTTGAAAATAAGGGGAGGTCTACCTCAAAAAAATTCAATGCTTAAATTAATAAGAGAATAGAAGTACCGTGATAACAAATAAAGAATGAATATTAGTGTGTACAAAAGAATAAAGTAGTTCTATTTATAAGATTATTACCAATGTATTTTAAATGTAATAAATATAATAAATATGTAAACCTGGGAAAATACATAACTTAAGTGAGCTCATAGTATCAAATATAGTATGGAAGAATGAGTTTAACTTTTAATGCCAAGTTGCGTGGGATTTGTCAAACTTATGCTTAGATCCATCAAGTTGATACTTGGGTGTGGATACTGTTGTGATCACCACTGATTTTATCTAACGACTTTTTAACTTCTTGTTTGGGTTATGATTTTATCTGTAACATACATGATGAGTTTTTCAAAGATGGTTTTGGTAGTTAATGCATCATTATTGGGGTTTTCCCCTAAAAGTCATCCTTAAGATTAGGTAAAACCATCCAGATTGGTAATCTGTGTTTATTATGTGATTTAGGTTTTCTTCTCCAACTTTCCTTCTTCAAGTTTTCTGAGAGTTTTTTTTAGTTTCCTTTCTTCCTTCATTAAGTACATTTAATCCTTCTACTTTTTTGATATCATGTTTTCCATTTCTGGTTATGGTTCCTTTGATAGTTTTAGTGATTGATGGGTGAACGTGAAATTCATTCTATTGGTTAGAAATTAATAGAGAAGAAAACTCTATTTTTATGGAGAGGGAAGTTTCTCGACCACGTGCGACGATGGCTATTACATTTATTGTGGTGCCCCTTAAAGATCGTGGGTCAAAAATATGAAAAATGATGGTTATGATTAGTCCAAGTTCTACTAGGGAGAGTCAGAGGACTCAGTTTCTTCCAATCTCGAACCCCGAGTACAACTAGATACTTGGTTAGGTGAGCCAATATTCTTCTTATCTTACCTTTATGTCTTCCATAGAGGATATTTGTAAAACATATGACATTTGTTTAGATTCGAAAGTCGGTTTAGTAACTATTAAGGCTTGCTCTCCCTCTGATCGGGTTTAGTAACTATTAATGATGACACTCGAAATAGAAGGGAAACAATTTAGGGTTATGTTTTGGAAGGTGGTTTAATTAGAAATAGAAAATAGAAAAATATAGGACAGCGTAGGCGCCACAAATAAGAATATTTGATAAGTCAAGAGGGATCGCCACAACAATTGGAAAATTCTTGATAAGATCACAAGATGCAAGGAAGAACCCTAGAAGAGAAACAACTCACAAATTGATTCTGCATAATACGTACCTTCATTTTGAATTTCCAAAATGTTTAATACAACTTAAGTTTATGAGTTTGTCTCATTTGCAGAAAATAAAGATAAATTAAAATCCTAATATCCCAAGCAAAGTTAAGTTGCCCTGATGGTTCAATGAAGAAATTATAAGCTTTGGGTCTTAGGTTCAAGTCCCCACTATAGCAAATGATAATAATAATAATAATTAAATCTTCTAGTTGGCCTCCTAGCTCTCCAAACATTCTATGCATGTGATAAGTTTAGACTCATCCATGTTTGGAAACTTTTAATAGTTGGACCTTTAGCAAATTGGTCACTTTGTGTTGCAATGCCTCTTGTCATAGGTCCACCTACATCTTGTAAGCACTATAATTGATATTCTCTAAGACTTGGAATGGTCCATCTCCTCTAGGTTGTAGTTCAGACTTTGTTTGTTCAGGAAACCTTTCCTTTCTCATGTGTACCCAAACCCAATCACCATGTTTTAATACCACCTTTTTCCTACCCTTGTTAGCTTGCCTTGCGTAGCTCTCATTCTTCTTTTCAATTTGAGTCTTTACTTGCTCGTGCAACTTCTTCACATATTATGCTTTAGTCTGTGCTTCCTTATGCTTAAACATAGAAATGTTAGGCATAGGCAACAAATCAAGAGGAGTCAAAGGATTAAATCCATACACAATCTCAAATGGTGAATAATTAGTGGTGTATAAGCAAACTCAACATGCTTCCCAAGTCTTAAGATTTTTCTTTAAAATAGTCCTAAGCAATGTGCCTAAAGTCCTATTAACTACCTCAGTTTGACCATCAGTTTGTGGGTGACAAGTAGTAGAAAACAATAATTTAGTACCAATCTTACCCCACAAGGTCCTCCAAAAGTGACTAAGAAATTTTAAATCCCTATCACTCACAATGCTCCTCAGCAGCCCATGTAGCCTTACTGCTTCCTTGAAAAACAAATCAGCCACATGACAAGCATCATCTACCTTCTTGCAAGGTATGAAGTGTTCCATATTAGAAAACCTATCAACAACAACAAACATAAAATCCTTTCCATTCTTTGTTTTAGGTAACCCCAAAATAATGTCCATAAGGCTTAACCTTAGATTTAGCCTTCTTACACACAATGCAGTGATCACAAAACTTATTCACATCATGTTTCATATGAGGCCAAAAGAAATGCTCTTGCAAAATTTCTAAAGTCTTTTGAACCCCAAAATGACCCATCAAACCCCCTTCATGTAATTCACTCATAAGCAACTCTCTAATGGAACACTTAGACACACACAATTTATTTGCTTTAAATAAGAATCCATTATGCCTAAAGTAACCATTTTTAGAAAGCCTTTCACATGCAGCAAAAGTTTAAGCAAAATCCACATTATTCACATACATGTCTTTCAAAGATTCAAGACCAAACAATTTAGTTTCAAGCATAGAAAGTAATGCATGTCTCCTAGAAAGTGCATCAGCTACTACATTCCCTTTTTCCTTTTTATGCTTGATGACATATGGAAATTGCTCCAAGAACTCAACCCATCTGACATGCCTCTTGTTTAAATTAACTTGTTCCTTTAAGTATTTCAGAGATTCATGATCACTACGAATTACAAACTCTTTTGGTAAAAGGTAATACTGCCAAGTTTTTAAAGCACGCACTAAGGCATACAATTCCTTATCATAGGTGGGATAGTTTAGGGCAACCCCATTCAACTTCTCACTAAAATAAGAAATTGGAAGACCTTTTTGTAGCAAAACAACCTCAATACCCACATTAGATGCATCACATTAAACTTCAAAAGATTTTGCAAAATTTGGTAATGCAAGAATGAGGGCATTAGATAGTTTGTGCTTAAGTTTAGAAAATACATTTTTCTTGTTTTTCACCCCATT